TGTTCGATAATTGTTAGATGACTATGTGACTGCTGAATATCCACCTTTCGGGGTGCATAAAGCAAATACTTGACCTGACTTGACTTGTACACGTTCAACAGTTCCCTGCTGGGCACTCATCTTCATTGGCGGAACATTAGGAGCGTTGTTGTTGCTGTCATAAATTTCATTTGTTGTTTGCTGTTTTCTCGCTCCGTTTTTTTTCATCAACAAGTTGGGTGATCATGTGTACTGAAATATAGATATATGTTCGCCATAATCGTAAACTGTCTATCAACTATACACCGGTTATATTATTCTCAAATAATTTTTTTGCTGTTCTGTCGTCGTCTGTTTCCCCGCCGGTGTGCGCTCGAGTACAACGTGTGTGTATGTTCGTGATGAAACGACGGTAATGCGCGTCACTCTTACTCTGGTCTACCGAATAGCACAACAAACTGCTGTCGCCTGATTTTCTCTCTCAGCGAAGCACTTGTTTCTCCTGGGTTTTGTTTGATTCATCTGTGACCAAACCAACTGTTATGCTCAAATTAAAGTTCGACTGTCCCTTTCCAGGCAACCATTCCTAAATCGTTCCCTGAGCCCGCTACCATCAACAAAAAGATCATCCCACTTGTTTCCGTTTTTTGACAGTATTATGGCGGTGGTCTCTTATTGACTGATGGCTTGTATATAACTGTCTAAAGCTTCAATAAAATACAATACAACAAAAACACGAGATACCGTTTTTTCAACCTTCAACTTACTCCTAAGCAGAGAAAGGGGGTAAGAATTTCAAAATCCTTTACCATTTCTCTTTTGCTCGGTTTTTTTCAAACTTACATAGTGTGGTGACATTGTTGCATAGCGTGCACTTTCACTTTCCGTCCTACAAACCAAGCATATTGAATGTCAGGCATGCTTCTCATTGTCGTTGTTCATTAGCACCCATCCTCGTTTCGTCGTACGGTTTCTGTCCCGAACATGTCCGGGGTGCAGAAAGCGGATGCTATCCACATCGGTTTGTCACCTACATCAGTGTCAAATCGTGATCGGAACTCACTTCATCGGCTTGTCGTTCGTCGCCATTCCCTGCCAACGGTAAAAGTTGGAGCTGGATGCATTGGGTCCGGCGATTCGCGGTCAGCTGTCGAGTCTCCCGACTCCGGCACTGTTCGAAGCAGCCTATCTTCATTCACCTCAACCAGTTCAGCACATCCTGATCAAGGTGATCAATCGGATGCATTTTGCGGCCCACGAATATCCTACTATGTGAACGAAAATAAGGTAAAATCCGCCTTTCCCCCCCCTCTCTCTCTCTACAAAAATAATAACTGACTGTTAACGTTTATACTAATGTTTGTTAAATAAAAATAAAAATAAAATAAATCACTTCACAAATGAGACACAAGCGAATAGTTAGTAACGCTTCTATTCGGTTCTACTCCTCTTTGCGAAAAACATCATCTTCCATATCTGTTGTTGGAAATAATTCAAGTCTAACGGATTGATTCCATTGATGTTGTTCTCTATAAACGCACACACCCAATTTAACTTCCCTTCCCTTTCTCATCTGCTGCGAAATATTCCATTTTCGCTCACTAAACAGTCCCGTTTGCCGTGCGGTATCGATCGGATTCGACCTCATTTACAGAATGTGGACAATGTACCTCTTCAAGTCTCCTTATTCACTGATTGCTCGACTGCAAGTAAGAACCGCCCATTTTCTCAATCGTAATTCTACTGCCGTTTATTATCTTTTGTTTGTATTGATTGATGCTTATCGAACTTTGACGAGCACAAGAATCAGCATGCTGTTGTTTGTACTTTTGGTTCGTTCTGTTACGGAACAGGGTTATGAGCGAAACGGGGCATTTGCAATACAGGATGAAATTCCTGAGCAGACGGAGGACGGTACATGCTTCGAACGCACAGTACTCTCGCAACCCGTTGCGAACCAAAGTGTGGGTGTGGTCATGTGCGTTCGTGAACTCCTCCCCTGATGTTGAATGCAGATATTGCGCAACCTGTCTTGTTGAAGTAATTCTCGCTATGGACAGGAAACACATTGTTTTCACTACATTGCTTATTGGTTGACCAGTTGACTGATTAACTGCTTTTTTGCCCCTTAATAACTGATGCATATTTATTAGTTCGTCTGCTTGTGCATTTGCGCGCTTGTGCTTACGCGACAGAAAAATAGTGTTTCCCCGACGAAGTACACTCTTTTCTTCAGTCACGTGTTACATGTGCAGTACGGGTTTGAGAAAGGAACCCGTGCTTAGTTTCACATGATTCAGGTCATCCACCATGCACTGAAACTCGGCCGAAAAACGGCGATCATAATGTAGGCAGTTCAGGAAAGAACAGCCGCTAAACGGGTCGATCATTCTTGGTTCGCCTTTGTATCATACCTGAGTTTGAGCGTTGCATTCGCGAATCGAACATTATCCAGTTGTTTTTCTTCTCCATCACGCATCAGAACTTCCATTCACATGTCATTTGCTTAGGGTTCTGAGGTGAACAGTCACATATTGGTCCACCCATTGCTATATTGTGAGGGATTCTCAATAGGTATCATGGTGATCAGATGTTTCCGCTCGACATTCCCGGACTACTGATAGCCGGAGTGATTAATTTTCATTGTTAATCGGACCGAATTTGTTCATTTTTCGGTTTTCCGCTACTACTGCACAAATGGGTTTAAAAGACCATTCGAATTGTTTAATTCAATGCAATATATCGAAGCTAAGTCCAAAAATGTATGCAGATGAGTTCCAAATATGAGTTGTTCCTTATTTTTTTAAAGATGCGCTTATACCAATAAGCCTCATAGAGCACAATAATAATCTTGCTAAAATGAGAAACAAAACACAAACTTTGACCAGTTCCGATACGTTTTCCTCGTACTGCCTCCATTCTTCTGCACGGCAGTCATGTTTTATGAAAAGACCCAACTAAGTCGAAACAGCTGTCCAGTGCTTCCTAGCTTTTCAGTTCACGCCTCATTTGCTATACACACGTCAAATTCACCTTTGAAATTGAATCAAATCCTCCAGTACTCACCTGAATTATGTAACTGCATGAAAGAAAATCACTCGCTTCGACCGAGTCAACATACGATCCTTGTTCGTTTGGTAGACACTGGTTACTGTATCAAGCAACGTAATCAAGATTATTCATCGGGTCCCCCAAGCCGGTCCATAGGTATCAGAATACGTGAGGTCACCTGTAATGGACATCTGACCTCCGAACCGCGTGGACAGAAGCGTTGAATCAGAGCTCTTCATGTTCCATGGTCTCACGAATACATTCCTCCCCGTGCACACACACATGGTAATCCATTCCACACTGTCCGATGCGAACGACCCAGGCACTCAGGTTTTATTCTCGCGCCAGTTATAATTTTGTTGCTATGACTTATTGAAAGTAGTCGTTCGCCTGAAATTTCACCCCTAACCCGAATGGTGAGTAATCTGACACTGGGGGTATACATTATACATTAGTGTGTTGTGAGCAACTCACTTTTCATTGAACTATTGAAGCTATTGTAAATAAACACTTGGTGTATCATTCCTGTTTGCTGCCTCCACTCTCCCTATTAGGTATCCAGGAAATGATCCGAATTCGACAAGAATACGGCGAGACTGTGTGTGTTGTGGGTAGTACCTATTCGGTGGACAGCTTGCGACTGATGCATTGCGCAGATGTTGCTGTAGCCATTCGCCCGGAACTTCCCAAACCTTGCGAAGCATTCATACCCAATGGAAATGAAGAAGTGAGTTTTTTAATGGAATGAGACTATGCGTGAATGTTTCTAGCCGTGGTTCGTGGAAATTCTTACAACCATATATA